GAAGATGACGAAAGACAACACGAGGGGGGGGGCAGGAGGAGGAGGAGGAGGAGGAGGAGGCGGAAGGGAGTAGGAGGAGGAAGGGTGAAGGGGGAGGAGGAGGAGGCCTTATGGATGTTGGTTGGGATCTCGTGGTTGACCTCTCGGGGGCGTCTGGAAGGCAACTTGAAGCCTCTTGGGGGCCGTTGTGGGGCCTCTTGGGGCCTCTTTTGGGCCTCTAAGTCTATATGTATCTACATATATATATATATATGCATATATGAGGCGTTCCAGAAAGGGCATCGCTTCGGGGTGTCGAAGAAGCTGGCATATCTTCCCTGGCGAAAGGCGGCGGAAGTGAAACGGGGGCCGGCTCTGCCGGCAGACGCCGGCGGAAGATCCGCGGAAGTTGGTGGAAGTGAACATGCGCCTCCTAGAGATGACAACATTTTTGGTTTCAGGAGTTCTGGAAACCGCCGTACAGTCAAGACGTTGAAATGAGGACCGCTTCGAGTTCGGAAAGGGCTAGCTGTTCCTGTGGCCATTCCGTGGTTGTTCCTCTAGCCCTCCTCGTGCACCCAGGCTCTTTCGGCACCAGAAAGGGGCTTGTTGCTTAGTGCAAGGGCTTGACCGTATGAGAAGTCAGCTGCGAGCTCTTGGGACCCACCTGCGCGGGTACTTGCCGCAGGTTCTTTGGCGCTCGGCATTGGAAAGGCGCGGTGCGAGCACTCCACGCGCGCATGCTCCTTCTCGGATGGTGTCTTTCGGCCACGTGTGCCTACTATGCCAGGATCGCGGCCCATGGATTCGAGTTCTACTTACCTCCACGGACTTCTACGTCCCCCAGCTGTGCATGCCAGTGTTCTGGCACACACACGTTCAAGGACTTCATGCTGTGAGCGTGCTCCGTTCCCCTCCCCCGCGCCCGCTCTCCTCCCGCTCCTATTGTGCCAATTCGGCCCATTAGTGTCCCCCGGCTGGGTTTGACCGCGGCGTGGATCCGCGCCGCTGCGACCAGACAGTGCTCACCCTGCCAGCGGGCCAAGAGTGAAGAAGCGCCTGCCCTGTCATAGGCATGTCGAGGAGATGGGTCCCTATGGCGAGCGGCGCTGGGGAATCAGGCGGCACCATCTCCAGGCTGAGATCCCAAGGACGGGTGAGTCCTTGATTCCATGATTCCAGGACAGCCGGTGTATTGACAAAACCATAGAACTAGTGAGTCAATGGGGAGTCGGGGCCGCCGCATTGTTTTGGGACTCGGGTCGTTATCCGAGGATGTCTCGGACGACTGGTGCTTCCAGGGTCTGGAAACCGTGTGCTGTTGTCCAGGGCGGGCTCGCGCACGCCGTGCAGTTTTTCCAGGTGGGGCGGTAGGTGCTCCCAGTGGGGCCACGAGGCGTGTGATGGGCATGCCGAAGTGAGGATGTGGCCGCCATGCGAGCGCCCTCACCTGGGCCGACGGTGGAATTCCGCAGGGTGCCACAAACGTTTGAGAGGTGTGCCGAGATTGGCGCCGCCGCTGCCATACGGCCGCTCTCGGTGGAGCTTCTCATGCCCTGTTGGGTTTGAACCGTGCGATGGCACGACCACGGCGAGCACGACGGCGCCATGACCACCGCCACTGCCAGTACTACCACCCGCCCCACCGCCCTGGCCCCTGGTCGCCCCTTTTTTTACTTTCCCTGCCCCTGCCGGGCCGCCCTTGCTGCCGCACGCGCCTATCACTTCGCCTCCGCTTCTCCGCTTCCTCTCCCTCTTGCCCTCCCACTTTCTCTCGCCAGCTGCGCCAGTCCGGGCACGCGGTAGCGGCAGTGGCCGGTGTGTCGTGTCGTGTCTCGTTGGCGCCACCCGCCCCTGCCCGAGTCGGTTCCGTGCGGTCCGCCTCCAGGACTGCCTCGCCACCTGCTGCTGCTTGCTGGCCCGCCTCTGTCCTCTCCATTTCTCTCTGCGAGGGAGGAAGGGAGAGAGGGGGAGAGGTAGGAGGAGGAGGAGGAGGAGGAGGAGGAGGAGGAGGAGGAGGAGGAGGAGGGAGGAGGCCGGAGGGGGAGCGGGAGGAGGGAGGGGGGGAGGAGGGAGCGGGGGGAGGATGGAGGAGGGCAGGAGGGCGGAGGAAGGACGGAAGGAGACGTGCGGCTCTGCGGATTCTTGCTGGTTGGTAACTGTGGACGTGCTGTGTTCCTACACGGGGCCCTCTGAGCTGCAGGTGTGGCGCTGCTTGGAGCAAAGCAGTGCCCGCCCCATGTGATGAACGGGCCGCCTCCCGCCATGTGGACAGTTCTTGACGCTGCGCGTATCCCCACCAGCCCATCCAGAAACGATGGGCGTATGTATCGAGGAAGACAACACGACGTACACTTTCGGAGTTCCGCGTGGATTTCTCGGATCGACGCTGAACCCCCGCCTTGGCGCGCGAAGCGCGCTAGGGGCGGTGCCCAATGCGCTGCAAGGCGGGTCCAGCGACGACCCAAGAAATCTTCGCGGAGTTCCAAGGCTTATGTTTATGCAGTTCTCTCTTTTTGATGTAAGCACATGGTCAAGCAGTTCGGCCAACAATGACGAAACGAGAAGGAGAAGGAGGAGGAGGAAGAGGAGGAGGAGGACATGAGGGGGATGAATAGGAGTAGGACCAGCTTGAACCCAATATTCATCAACGATGATGAAATACACCCTCCCCAAAAAATCCTTCTTAACAGGCCCCTACCAGGAGTCATTTCCACCAAGGGAAATGCCCTGTCGGGGGCAGCCGTGTAAAAAAATTGAAACGTGCCCCAAAACGATTCTCAGGACGTCGACGCCGCCAGTTAACTTGATTCTTACGCCTTGGCGTTCCATAAACCTGCCAGAACGCCATTTGTGGGACTACAACACCCCGAATCAACATAACTGCGCCTTGATAATGTTGAATTGATCTGACACGCCATATCTGGCTTGTCAGACATGGTGACGAATGAAATTCTTGCTATGTTGCACGAAGGCGCGCGGCGCTAAGGCGGGAACCACATTTTGAAAACGAGCCGCCCACAATCCGTGAAGCTCTTGCAAATGCTGAAAAACGAATATACGCGGCGCTACGGCGAAAACCAAGTTTTGCAAAGGAGCCGCCCTCAATCAGTGAAATGTTTAGATTATGTTAACACGAATGTGCGCGCCTCCAAGACGAGAGTTAATGTTGAAAACCACCTGCCCTCCATCTGTGAAATCCTTCCACAGGTTTAAAATGAGTGTGCGTGGCGCTATTGCGAGAGCCACAATTTGAAAACCACCCACCCTCAATCCGTGAAGCTTTTCCCCATGTTTAAAAAACGAATGTGCGCGGCGTTGAGGCGAGAGCCACATTTTGACAGGGGCCGCCCGCAATCCGCGAAACTCTTGCACATGTTTACAATGAGTGCGTGGCGCTAAGGCAAGAGCCACATTTTGAAAACGATCCGCCCTCAACCCGTGAAACTCTTTCAAATGTGTAAGCATCAGGGTCATAAGTGATGAGGAAGTCTGGCGAAACGCCCAGCCCGCCCTTTCGACCAGTCTCGGGGTGCGACGGGGGGGAATTATGCATAAGGAAAAATGGAGGAGGGGGAGGACAAGGAGGAGGAGGAGAAGGAGGAAAAGGAGGCCTCCTGAGGCCGTCTTGCATCTTCTTATGGGCTTCCTGTGAGCCTTCTTGGAGCCTCTGAGGGGCGTCTTGAGGGCCTCCCGCGGCCTATTGGGGATATCCTGGACCTCTTGGGGGCCTCCCAAGGGCCTGTTTGGGGGGGTCTCTGAGGAACCTCTTGGCCTTCGGAGGCCGTCTTCGGGGCCTCTCTGGGCAGTCGTGGGTCCCTCTATGAAGGGCCTGCTTGGAGGTTTGTAGGGCCGTCTTTAGGTCTTGGCCCTCTTGAGCCGTCTTGCGGGGCCATCTTGCGGCGATCTTGTGGGCCTCGGGCCGTCTTGGAGCGCTGGAAGGCCGAAAAGGCTTCCTGGAGGCCCTCTTGGAGCCTCTTTGGGCGTCTTCGGGGCCTCTTACGCCGTCATGAGGGCATATTGCACCGTCTTGGGGTCGTCTTGGCCGTCCTGGAGACCATCTTGGCCGTCTTGGATTCGCCTTGGGACCGTGAACGAGATAATCTCGACCGGCTTGGAACCAAATGTTTCTGAGCATGATGGTCCGTCTGCATCTTTCAATGTGGCCGGCGTGTCAAGCCGAAGGCCATTGGGAACTCTTCAAACAGATGCTTTAAAAAGTAAAACGTCTAGCACGCCGAGCACCCCAGTGATAATCAAAGGGGGCAGCTGATCCAGTGGCCTTCAGTTAAGCCCGCCGTCATTGTGATTGGATTGTGGACCAGAGGCATTTTCGATGTCTCTTGGGAGGCCCCTTGGAGTCCTGATCCGGGCCTCATCTCCTGGGGGCCTGTCGGGCCTCTTTTCGGGGACTCTTGGGGGCCCGCTAGAGGCCGCTCGGCGACCTCCTGCCGGCCCCTGAGGCTATCGTAGGGTGGAGAGCTCGTGTCAGTTACGTAGTGCCTCCCCTCTCGGGTTCGTCTCGGGCCCTCGCTTGGGGGCTTGAAAGCCGTCCTGGGGCGATCCTGAAGGCTTGTCGGGCCCAAGAGTGCGCCGAGGGATCTCGGAGGGACCTGAGTAATTACTCTCCACTTCGTGCCTCGCAGCACCGTGGCCGCTCCTCGTCCACCGTCATTCTGCCGTGCCTGGGAGTTTTGTCGGCTCAGCACTTGACCCGGAGCCTCCCCGCCGCGACGACAGAGCGCACCGATCCAGGCCTCCCAGATGGGATCGGAGCAGATGGGGTCGGAGGATCGCGCCGCACCGCCGATGCATCGACGAGGGGGCTCGATGTGGAGCCCGATGTTATTCACGCGGACGTCGCCGATGCCTCGCCGATGTATCGGCGATGCACCGCCGGTGCATCGCCGGTACATCGCCGATGCATCGCCGAGGCATCGGCGATGCGGCGTGATCCTCCGACCCCAGCGACTCGAGCCCCATCTGGGAGGCCTCTGTTCGATCAGCCGCCCCGCGGGGCCATGGCCGAGCGCACGCCCCATGCCTCGGCTCGGGCGCGGGGCCCAGGAGACACGCCCGCCGCCCCTGGCCGGGCCCGTCGTGTGCTCGGGAGCGTGCCTGCACGCTCCCCTCTCAGGAGGAAAAAAACCACACAGACACAATGAATCGTCGATTCCCAGGAAAATATAGGGAAATATGGGAGGTTGGGGGGAAGACGAAAACCCAAGGAATATGGGAAAATATGGGGAATCTTTTTATTTGTGTGTATTTATTTGTGTGTCCCAGGGCCCCTTCACCCTCCCCCTCCCTCCCCTGGCCCACTCCTGGGTCCAGCAGGGGCCTGGCCAGGGCACGGCGGTCGGGCCTGCCCCTCTACAGGAGGAACCTCCAAACATAGTCTGAGAATCGTCTGGGAACGATTTTGGGACTCTTTCCCTGACCTTCCAGAGAGCTAATTTTTAGCACTGGAGGCCTAAAAACTTAAAAAACTGAACGAAACAGCCTAAAACCAAGACGTAGAATAGCTTTGGGATAGGTTTCTAGGTCGGGTGCTATTTTGTAGCCCTCCTGGAAGGTCAGGGTTTAGACCATGTGTGGTGCATACTTGCAGTGTTCTTCGTTTTTTCCGTCCAGGATCCCCCTGTAGGAGGACCAGCCCGCTGGAAGTCTTGGCCCCGTCGCCCTGCAGAAGCCCGCGGCCGCGGACCCCGATGCCGCTCCCGAGTCGCTCGCCCGGTCCCCGACGCCCACCGCCCGCCCGGCCTCGGCAGCGTCGCGCCTCGGCGCCGCGCCGGTGCGCTGCGGCCCGGCGGCGCTCGGCGGGAAGGACGCGAGGGGTCCTGGTGGGGGCGGGGGCTTACCATTGAGTCGGGCCCGTCCCTCTACGGGAGGAATGTTCAAAAATAGTCCAAAGATAGTCTGGGGACTTTTTGGGGGAGTTTTTTTTTGACCATTCTGGAGTATGTTTTGTGTATCTTTTATTTTTCGTCGAGAATCCCCCTGTTCGGGGACACGCCCGACTTAAGCTTACCAGTTTGAAACATGTCCCTATCTCTGTGTTTGGCATCACCTCACCTCGATGCCGATCTCAAGGGTTCCCTCAGAGTTTCTGAGGACACATCCCCAAGATTGCCCTTGCTTTTTGCTCGCCCATCTCAGGGACAGGGATAAGTTCGAGGCTGGTTAGGAGACCCCGAGTTGTGCTTTGGCCGCTTTCGGCCTCTCGCGTCAAGTCGAGCCTGTTCCTGCACAGGAGGAAACAAATAAAAATAGTCAAAAAATAAGATATAATCTGGGGACGATTTGTTGTCTAGTATGATTGACCATTTCTTGCATATGTTTTGGGGGTATTGTTATTTGTTCGTCCAAAATCCGCCTGTAGGGGAGCATGCCCGACCTAACTCTTGCGCGAGGGCCTGCTCCCGGGGCCCCCTGGGGGCCGTCCAGGAGCACGGCTCGGGACGAAGGGCGGGTCCTGGGCGAGCACCTCCCAGGCATACAGTCGGGGCGCTGAAGAAGGAACCCTTTTCGCTGGGGAGGGGCTCGGTGCTCCTTGATTGTTTTGCAGTTTGTCTTGGGTTTTCCTGAGGTTTCCCACGGGAAATCGAAGTTTAACTTATGGGAAGCAGGGGCCTCGTTCCTTATTTAGGGTTCCTTAGGTCAACGCCCCGACTGTACGAGGGTGTGACGATTTTTCATGCGTGGCCCCAGATGTCCCGATCCAGAAGTCGGGCATGTCCCTCTACAGGAATAATGTTCAAGAACATTCCAAACATAAATAGTCTGGCGACACAGAACTCGCCTGTAGGATTATGTTGCTCCCATCGCACTTCAGGACCACATCCCAGAAATAATTTCGAGCACCCCGAAACATGTCGAAAGAGTCTCCTAACAGTGTCGAAACAGTGTCGGACGAGTGTCTCCCAGGGCCCGACACGTGAAAACCCTCAAGTTTCGGTACTTTCCTGGTGTTTCTTCCTGGCGATCAAGGCTTAAGTAGGTTGGAGCATCATAACTGTAGGGGGAAATGCCCGACTGAACCCCAAGGCATACGACGGTGTGACTTGTTCAATGCGTGGTCCCAGATGTCCCGACCCATTCCCTGGAGGCCCAGGTGCCCTCTCTTGATGGTTCCGGGGCTCGCTCACAAGCCCAAGCTCGGGTGTTGCTAGGCCTGAGGTGCCCCCAGGATTTTCAAGGAGGCCCCCACGGTCTCCAGAGCACCCCTCACGAGGTCCAGGGGGCCCCAGGGGCTCCAAAATGGAGCGAAACTATGGGGGCGCCTTGGGCCAGGGGCACTTCTAGCAACCCCCGACAAGCGGCGGAGCTCGAGGAACCACGCCTAGGCCGGAGTGCCAGCGTGGACCCCGAGTGTCGAGTCATTGCGCTGTGGATGTGTAAGGTACGTGTGTGGCACCATCTTTTTAAGCTACGTGGTGCAATACATGTGGTGCAAGCTGTGTACGTGCGTGTGTGTGTGTGTGTGTGTGTGTGTGTGTGTGTGTGTGTGCGTGTTGTAAGCTATGCGGTGCAAGCTACGCGGGGTGAGCTATGTGGTGTGAGCCGTGTGTTGTCGCCATGTATTGCAAATTTTGTGGTGAAGCCAGGCGGTGCAAGCCATGCGATGCAGTATGTGCTCTGTTGTTTTTGTTGTTTTCTCTCTCTCTCTCTCTCTCTATGTGTATATGTATATATGTTCATATGGTGTAAGCTTTTTTGTGTAAGTTCTGTGGTGTCAGCTATGTGCATTCGACTATGTGGTGAACGCTATGCGTTAACACATTTATGTGGTGCAAACATTGTGGTGAAATCTATGTGGTGCAAGCTATGCGGCCGCCCGCGTTGCGCCCTCGGGCGGCCACCAACCGGACACCTGGCGAAACCCCGGCGGACCCACCCAGCGCACGGGGCGCTCAGGTGTCCCGCTGCAGGCGTCGTTTGGCCGTGCGCGCCAGGGCGCCCAACTCCGCAAAAACAGATCCACTGGCAAGCAGACGCCTACATTTTTTTGTCGCCCCTGCGCCGCCCCTCGAAGACCTGGAGCCCCAATGGACCAGGACCCGTCTCCGCCGGGACACGCCTCCTTCCTGGCAAGGCGTGCCGCCGACTGCCCTCCGCCAGCTACTGGTCTGCGCAGCTCGCCCTGAACCGCGGCGCCTTCGACAGGTTCCAGGCGCCGAGGCCCCGCCGGGCGTTCTCGCCGCCGCCGCGGGGGGCGCGCGGGGGCGGGGAGGCCCCCCTCTGCGCCGCGGGGCCTGGCTGCGGCGGCCGTGCCACGGGCCCTGCGGCACCTGGAGGCCAGGCGGGCCCCCTCGGGCCCCAGGGGCCCGGCGGCGCTGGCAGGTTACCAGCCTGGAACATATCCCTATCCCTATGCTAGGCATCGCCTCACCACGATGCCAATCTCAGGGACTCCCTTATTTTTTGAGGGCGTATCCCTAAGATTGTCATCGCCTTTCGGCGTGTCAATCTCAGGGATAGGGATATGTTCGAGGCTGGTAAGCAGGGGCGCGGGGCTCGGGGTCGAGGACGCCGGCCCGTGGGCCGGGTCGCCCGCGCTGGCGCTGCGCAGGGGCCTGGCGCGGGTCGTGACGGTGTGAGAAGGGCGCGCGGCGGCCACGCGAGGCGGGAGGCCTCACCAGCGGAGGCGGCCCGTGCCCGAGGTGGCGGCGCCCGAGGACCTTTTCGGCTCCGCGCCCGAGCGGGCCGGCGCCCCCGGCCACGCGTTCGTCGTTCCCCCGCGAATTTTTAAAACATGGACCCCGAAGCCTGCGCCTTGACGCAGACTCCTCCCTCTCCTCCTCCTCCTCCTCCTCCTCCTCCTCCTCCTCCTCCTCCTCCTCCTCCTCCTCCTCCTCCTCCTCCTCCTCCTCCTCCTCCTCCTCCTCCTCCTCCTCCCCCTCCTCCTCCTCCTCCCCTCCCCCTCCTCCTCCTCCTCCTCCTCCTCCTCCTCCCCCTCCTCCCCCTCCTCCTCCTCCTCCTCTCGTCCCCGCGATCTTTTAAAAAATGAGCCCCGAAGTCTGCGCCCTGACGCCGGTGCGGACGGCTGAGTGTACAGATGTTTTCCAGAGTCTGCACGCTTCGATGTTCTTTAAAAATTTGCGCCCGGAGGACGGTGCTGCAGCGGATCTCGGCCTGCATCGAGTGACAATTCTTCTGCGCAGCCCTGCTTCCCGATGGCGCTCTGCAGTTACTTTTAAGATGCCTCAGATTCCACATGTGATGCCACATGTAATGACACTTGTGTCATGACTGTTTCGGTCCAATCTTCGGGAGGGTTGAGATTGAGGCCCTCGGTGCCCTCTGTGCATGTTCCTGCACACAAAGCCAGGGCCTCTGTTTCAGAAAGATGTGGCGTCGAAAGCGCATCTCTCGCATCTTGCACCGCAGCCACGTGCTGGACGAGCCTTCCAGCCCGCACGGCATCGAGCAGCGGCTTGGTACCAGCAGTGTGCACATCATTCATTGGAAGAGTCATATCCAAAACGGGGCTGTGGCTTCGGGGTCGCGAACCCGTTGTAATTTACGGGGGGGGGGTCTTCGGGGACGCGGACGCGCCGTAAACTATGGTGGCATCGGTAGCGCGAGCCTGTCTGAATGTACCAGGGGTTGTGGCATCGGAAGTGCGAAAGCGCTTCCATTTACCAGAGATTGTGGTGAACTGTCACATGGAACAGCGCAGCCTATGCCACGAAGTCTGTTGGCCCCAAAGGGGGCCCGCGGATTAGTATGACGTCTCCGCCTCCTCCCCGTGCTCATGGCTAGCTATATCCAGTCACTCAGTCCGACTCATTTACGCACCTACTCAATCATATTCGTTCAGCTCAGTCAAAGTCCTATTCTGATTCGCTTTCTTTCAGGCTCGATCGTACCAGTATCCACTCACTCTTTGATTCACCCATACACAGGCCACCCATACTCAGACTTACTCGTGATGAGATACGCTGGCAGGCAGACTCGCTCATATTCAGGCCCACTCGTCTTCAGATCCTTTCATAATTATTCGGACCTGCCCTCAGGCCCACTCGCTCTGGAGCACTCGCTTTTCCAGGCCACTGATGCTCGGACCCACCCATACTCTGCCTCACCCACGCTCAGGCTCACGCCTACTCGGTCCGTCCTACGCTTATTCCGCCTTGTCCATGCTCAGATGCGCCGCGATGTAGACGGCATGACATTTGGGCCACTCACGGGGGGAGCCGCCAGGGGGTAGGTAATTACGGTAGAGGGAAACAATTAGTGAACACACCCCCTGCCCCCCAAACTCAAGGTTGGCACGCGGGGGGGAGACTGCGATCGAGGTGCGACTCATCAGACCCACCGCTAACTTTGAACATTGGGGGGAGGGGGAGGCGTTCACAGATGAATGTGGCATGAGTGTGCGCTATGTTTTTCCGAGGCCTGTATGACACGGGCTCGTTTGCGTTCAGATCGTGCGGATTCTTTGTGGCGGAGTTGCCGTTCAGAGGCGTAGACGCGCCTCTTGCCGCAGCCCCAGAGATCGCCGCGACGGGACAGGCCCAGCCCATGGGCTTCCCGAAGGGAGCCGCAGAGGGGGGTATAACACGGGCCCATTGGCGCCCAGATTGTCGTAGAGTGAAGTCGGGCGTCTCCCTCTACAGGGGGAATGTTCAAAACAATAGTCAAATCTGGGGCCGATTTTTTTTTACCATGCCTGATTATTGTTGAGCGTTTTGGGTGTATCTGTTTCATCTCTCGTCCAAAATCCGCGTGTAGGGGGACATGCCCGACCTAATTGTAGAGGCGGCTCTATGTGATCATAGCCCCATGACCACCGGGACGAAGCATTGCCATTGCCACTAGGCCTCCTCGGGGGGGGGGGCTGGCAGGGGTGTATGGCACGGGCCCGTCCGCGCTCAGAGATTGAAGGGGGGGATTGAAGGGGCCTCTCGGGCGAACCGCCCGTTTGGGGAAGTTGTCATGGTCCAAACGCCCCCCCCTCCTCCTCCTCCTCCTCCTCCTCCTCCTCCTCCTCCTCCTCCTCCTCCTCCTCCTCCTCCTCCTCCTCCTCCTCCTCCTCCTCCTCCTCCTCCTCTTCCTCTTCCTCTTCCTCCTCCACCTCTCAAGCCATTTCGGCCTGAGCTGGTGCGCCCGCGCGCCACGCGACGGCCGAGGCAGCAGGGCGCGCACCATCGGCGGCGGCGGGCTGGAGCTCGCTGTACGTCGGTCGCGGCTTGAAGGGGGCGGCAGCAGCCGCTGCTAAAGTTCCTGTTGCCCTAGTTCATGGCCCGCGGCCGCGGCTGTTGCAAAGATGAGGAGGAGCAGACATCGTGGGCGTCGTGGGAAGCCCCATGGCGAAGATCGGCGTCGCGCTCGTCCAGCCGCAGGCCGCCAACCACCAAGGGCAAGAAGCACACGCAGTACCTGGTGTGCCCTGTGTGCCCTGTGTGCCCTATGGGCAATGGCAATCGGGTTTATTATAACAGAGCAGGTAAGCTTGGGTGAGCCAGCTGCAAGACGTGTGAACATGGGTGGAAGTCCGCATCCAGTGCTGCACCAGAGGACGGAGACAACGCTGAAGCAGGGCAGTCCGAGGCCGCTAGGGCCATGGTGGAACTACTCAGGAAGCAGTACACCCAGGCAAGTGAGCAGAAGGACCAAGCCAAGATGGACGAGATCCTGGCAGCCTGCCCAGACGCGAAGCCGCCTGAACCAGCTGAGCCAGTCGAGCCCTCCTGGGGCCAGAAGCTCCAGCAGGCGGTGGCCGAGCTCAACAGGCTGCAGAAACATCAGGACAAGTTGGCCAAACAGCTCAAGGGCGCCGCAGAGTACCGCAACGACGTGCTCATCAGGGTCAGTACCAACGTGGCAGAGCTGGCAGAGGCAAAGCGCGTCTACTGGGAGGCCAAGGCAGAGCTTGGCGGCGGCGAAGAAGCAGTACCTGAAGTGGGGAAGAAGCCAGAAGAAGATGAGGAGTTCCTTACCCTGTCGGACGAAGACTTGTCCATGCTGGACTCCAAGCAGAAGGAGGAGTACGAGCAGATCCCGAAGGAGTACCAGCAGGTCAAGTCCTACATCAACGCCAAGAAGGAAGCAGTCCAGAACGCGACGAAGGCACTCGACGCAGCGAAGCAGATCCAGGCGAAGGCTTGCAAGCGACGTACAGGAGAGCAAGGCGATGTCCGAGCGGATGTGAGGAAGGAGCCAGAGGCGGCCCCGACGGCAGAGGCAGGGCAACCAGCAGCCGCAGGTGAAGCAGGCCAAGCCGTGGGCCCCGAGATCAGGCTCGCCACTAAGTACGAGCTCTCCCACGACGAACAGGTCCAAGCCTACCTTGCGGAGTTGGCCAATATCAAGGGCAGGGCGAAGGTCGCGGTGGCAACGCGACAGGCGCCACCATCAGCAGCAGCAGCTAAGGGCGACGGAGTTGGAGGGTAATTTCGACACCACCAAGCGCAACCTGCTGCACACCCACTCTAGCAGAGCCTGCTGCGAAGGGGGGTGGGCCAAGGGTGGTCTGCCTTTCGGCTGAGAGAGGCAGATCCCCACTCGCAGCAGGCCTTCATCGAGACCCAAGCAGCGACGCCAAACCAGCGCGCACCAAGAAGGTTTGGTTTGACGACGGGGTTGGCTACATCGCTGAGAGTGTTTTACCCGGATTGGTGATGATAATGGCAGCGCGTCGTCGACATTTTCACCTTGTGGGAGCTCTGCGCGTGCTACCGCGGCGACAGAACCAGCGCGTGCAGGTGCGCAATGCATTGGCTCCGCGCTCCCCGCCGTCGACAGCGCCGAGCAGAGCAAGCTGCGGGGCGATGCCAACGACATCCTCGAAGCGTTCGTGGACAACTGCGCGCAGTGCAATGAGGCCGCCAAGAAGTTCGTAGAGGACAAGCATAGCGAGGACTACGACCTGATGGCTTTCAGCCGCAAGTGGTGCTCGCTGAAATTCAGCGAGCACCACTTGCGAGGGCCAGCAGCGGAGATCGAGGCGAACAGGCTCATGCGGTTTGGGTGGAGGTCGCATGGTACTTGGACGCCAGCAAGACAGTCGCTGAGATCGAAGAAAGGCACGCTAGGAGGCACCCGCCTACGTCGAAGACGGCACTTGGATACGCGCATTCACTCGCCAGGCGCGCAGGGCCATAGCATCTTCGCGAAGGATTTTCACGACATCACCATCGTCAAGTGGCAGCTCGAAGGCCAGCAGATTGCAGTTGTCACGGCTTGCATCGCAGCCGCCATAGGATTCGCGGGTGAGAGCATTCGCAAGATGAAGCACACCTTGCAACTGGCGCGTAGCCTGGGCAATGTACAGTGGATTTTCTGCGGCGATTTCGATGGCGTGCCCCAGGAGTTCCAGGCGACCCCATGGCTAAAGTTACTTGGAGCAGCTATTGTGGTACCGCAGCGCGCTAGCCGCACGTGCAGCAGTGCATCTGGAAGGCTAATTGACTACGCGATCGTTCCTCCAGCCGTTCGACCGCTTCTTGAAGACGCTCGAGCAGAACACGATGTACCATGGCCACCGCACATTGGCATCATGATCGAAGTACGGGCGAAACCTTCGAGAGTAATGATTCGCAAGCCCATGCTCCCAGCTAAGAAGCCCATCCCCACGACGGAGATATAGCGGGAGAACGGCATCAAGAGGAAGCAGCGAGACAGGAACCAGCACCAAGACATGGCCCAGTACTTCGACGAGGACCTCTTGGATAATGAAACCTGAACAACTACTACACGGAGACGGTTGCTATGCAGTGCGACCCGACCATATGGGGCAAGTGCCGCGAGGAGGAGGCCTCTGGCCGCATTCGAGGCCCGCCAGGATGGGTCCAGAACTCCTGCGCCTACAAGCAGAACCCGAGGATGAGCGACCTACTTGGCAAATTATTCGGCAAGTGGGCGAACGCGGCCGAGAGAGCATTGGCCACTATCACACAAGCACCGATTCATGCTGGAGCGCGGCGAGGACAACCGATGCGATATCGCGAAGTACCATATCCACATCATGTCGCGAGCAAGCCCATTTGCGAAACAAAGACCGACAAGCAGCAGCAAGTTAGCGCACTTTGGTCGAAGCTACACCAACGATGTCGTGACGGAGAGCTACTTCTACAAAGGCACCCGACCGACAGCCAGCAGCACATGGCAACCGCATGCCGCGTCACCAATGTGCTTGTGGATCAGATAGAGGCGCTCGACAAGACAGACATAGAGGAGGTGGACCACTCTGACGGCCCAGCAGCTCGACAAGCAAGACGAGTCACCAACCTTCGACGCGACCCAGATCCAGAAGTAACAGTCGAGAACATCCAAGAGTGGCACGATGCGACAGAGGCGATACGGGCACGATCAGAGTGGCATACGCGGAAGCTGTGGAAGAACATCAGAGAGCAAGTGGGATTATTCTCCAGACCGGCATTATCAGGCAGTACGAAGGCGGCCCACAATTTCATCTGCAAACATGAACGGCGAGATCTACCAGGTACTGCAGTGGACCCAGTTACCAGAAAAGAAACTGGAGCGCTTCGCGAAGCTACACAATGTCGTGCAGGAGTGTGGC